TGATGATGTTTTTTTTTTTTTTTTGTTGTATAAAAATATTTTAAGAAATAATTAAAACTTTATAAACCTTGGTTTTTGTTTTCTCATATAATATTTGATTTTGAAATCAAGGTACATATATGTATATGTTTTTTGTTTTCTGTTTTTTTAATACTTATTACTATTTGATTTTTAGTTAGGTATTAGGTTTTTTTTCATTCATTTTCTTAATTTTAATCCATAATATTTTCTATTTTGTTGTTTATAATAATTTTAGTTAAATATTTATTCTAGTAAAAAATTCTTTTGTTTTACAAGTAAAAAAATTCATAAGAAACAAGATAATGTTTTTGTTTTTTCATTTCATTTCATTCGCATTGTTTTTGTTAATATTTGCACTTAAGTTTTAGAATATATATTTGAATTTTTCGTAAAGGGAAAAATTAAGAGAGTGGAGTTTGTTTATTTCAATAATCGTAATTAATTTAAGTAATCTTTTAAAAATCAATTTTTTTTATAGAAAATTACCTATCATCAATGATTGTTGGGATATAAAAAGTTTCAATTTAATTAATTTTCAAAAAAAAAAATCTATTTCACAATTTTAACTTTGACATCTGTTAGGGGTACAATTCTATTCGAATTCTCCCTAAAATTGCTTCTAAGAGCACCGGGCCCTTAGCATAGTTTTATATGGAACTAATACTAGAAGCAATATTTCGATCTCTTGCAAGATTTGAAAATGCCTATATATGTAAGATGTTTGGATGGATGGTTTAAAATTTTTTTGTAAAACAGAAAATCTAAAAGAAAATCTCTTTTAATTGATTGTTTATTATTTACTCTTAATTGCACATTAAAAGTAATATAAACAAATATCGTTGTTGGTTTAATACGTTTTAGAGATGTAGAAAGGATATAGATATCAGTCTATTACTCAAGTATTATAAGAGTTATAGTGATTTCAGAAAATATTCGACGCAAAAAGTTAACGAATAAGATGGATACAAGTTTGAAGCTGGAGCAAATTGAAGGCTCTCATCAAACAATGAAGCCATAAATCTGCAGCGATATTAGACTGAAAAGAAGATGAGGTATCAATCACCATTTAAAACCAGTAAGGTAAAGTCAAAAGTCGGGCGGGGCCGACTATATGATACCATATACTACTATGCATATTTAGTAGAGCTCCCGTAACAAAAGGATTCATTTCAAGTAGATCATACCACCTATCAACATTTGGCTTTAGAGCATGATATCACTTGGAGAAGGATTATATTAAAAAAAAATATATTTCGGAACCGAGTTGTACAAAATGGAAACGTACGTCCCGAAATGCACTCCATTTTGTGTTGATATTAAACATTATTTGCATACTACACCTGAAATCGGATTAAGGATATATATTGGAGTTATATCTAAATCTTAGACGTTCTCAATAAAATTTGGCAAAGGTATTTCCGAGCTTTATAAGATATCTGGTACCAAATATCGTTGTTGTCGAATGCATATTACGAATGTGAGGGACTTAAACACCAAATTGGATGAAACATATACATTGGAGCTATAGCTTTATCTGAACCGATTTTCTCCAAATTTTATGTACATACTTCTAGGCTGAATTCGGTCGGATGTACAAAAATTCAGGACTTTTGGACTAATATTGGACATTTGGTGCACAATAAACCCGAAGTCGGTTGAAGATATTTATGGGACATATATCCAAATCTGAACCGATCTTGAAAAAATTTGGCTGAAGTATTTCTGGGCTGTATCTGACATCTGGTACCAAATATCATTGTTGCCGAATGCGTATTCCGACTTTGAGGGACTTAAACAACAAATCGGATGAAACATATATATGGGAGCTATATCCAAATCTGAACCCATCTCGATAAAATTTGACAGAGGTATTTTCGAGCTGTATCTGATGTACGGTACCAAATATCATTCTTCTGGAGCGCATATTACGCATGTGAGCGACTTAAAACCCCAAATCGAATGAAATACATATATTGGAGCTATAGCTATATTTGAACCGATTTTCTCCAAATTTGATTTAGTTGCTTCTAGACTGAATTCGGTGGAATGTACCAAAATATAGATCATTTGGACTTATGTTAACCATTTGGTACACAATTAACCCGAAATCGGTTGAAGATATATGGGATCTATATCTAAATCTGATCCGATTATCACCAATTTCAATAGGGTTCGTCCTTGGACCAAAAAATATTGTTTGCACAATTTCTTCTCAATTAGATAATAAATTCGACCTGCATTTTGTTCACAAGAATACATGGACGGATGGACTGACTTAAATTGACTCAGAAAGTGATTCTATGTAGATCCTCAAAAGTTACTATGTGTCTATCTCGCTTCCTTCTCCATGTTGCAAAACAAATGCACAAAGACATAATGCCCTTACCACTATGTGGTGTAGGGTATATTGAGGCAACATGCTGCGAATCGGAGTCACATGAAATCGTCATCGAAAACTATTTTATAGACTTCTAAGGTGTATCTTCGTCTATAGAGGATATGTAAAGACGATTCACTCTATATATCTGTAAATAATTTGAAAAAAAAATATATATAAGTATAGAAGAGGGAGCACTCTATAAGCATAATTAATATGTAATACTTCTCCAGACTACAATTATTCTGCTCCTTGCTCTACACCTTCAAGAATTCTATTCGATTAGAAACATCAAACAAAAAGACAGTTCTTTAAATAATGTATTTTTTCAATGGACATTAAAAGTAGTCCCACATTTGGATGACGAAATGCCTGTGAGAAAAAAAGTTTTCCAATGGGCCATCAGCCCTATAAATTATAAATGCTACATAAGAATATAGTTTTAGAATTGGGAAATACTACATGAAATGTATATCCTTTGATAAACTTGACTATGTAGTTCTACTCAGATTTAAAAATGTGTTTAAAACATGATATATATGTTAAAAACAAAATATTGCACAAACCTAAATTTACATCATGCATGCGTCATCATTACCTAAAAACAAAGTGACGGAGTGAAAAGCCATCCATCTAAAAATTTAGCTAATAGTTCAAGTTTATGAAAGCTAGCTTGTGAAATGGACACCGTAATTCCGTCGGACTCCAATACATCAAAAAAATAGTTCTTTTTTGTTTTTAAATTTATGCTCAAGTTTCATTTTTTCAGTCTTAGGAAATGTATAAATGTATTTCAATAAATTCAAAAATAATTTATAACGAGATCATAAAATAAATAAAATTTTTATACGCATGCAATTAAATAAAAAGTAATTTTTATAATTTCCTATCAGTTCTTAGCAATTCCAATAATGAACTCTTAGATTTTATACAAAGTTAGGGAAAATTCGGGCTTGTATTACACATTTGGTGTACACTTAACTTGAAATCGGATAAAGATATATATGGGAGATATATTCAAATCTGAACCGATGTCGATAAAATTTTTGAAGTATTTCTGAGCTAAATTTGGTATACTTCCCCGAATATCGTTGTAACGGAGGACATATTATGACTGTGGAAGGCAAAAATAAGAAATCGGATGAATAATATATATGGGAGCTATAGCTATATCTGAGCCGATTTCGATCAAATATGGCTTACTTATTTCCAGGCCTAATCTGGTCATATGTGCAAAATACCATAATATTTGGGAGATGTATATGGGAGGTATATCTAAATTTGACCGATTATCTCCAATTTTAATAAGGTTCATCCTTGGGTCAAACAAATGATTTGTGCAAAATTTCATTAGAATGGGGCAATAAATGCGACCTGTACTTTGTTTACAAAAATACATGGACGGACAGACAGACGGACGCACATGCATAAATCGACTTAGAATGTGATTCCATGCAGATCTTCAAAAGGAACCATGGGACGGACTTGCATTAATCAACTCAGAATGTGATTCTATGCGCAGATCATCCAAAAGGAACTATCTTGTTACCTTTTGACTGTTACAAACAAATGCAGAAAAACAAAATACCCTGACCACTTATCTGTTGGTAATTTGTGTAGTCATTTAATGTAAATGGACCCTCTAAGAGACAATCTCCAGTGGGCTGGAGACCAGAAGACTTTATCAAGTTCCTGCTAGCTTTTTTACAAAAATTTTCAAGTGAGATCTTAGGTAGGTCTTCTTCCACAGATGACCTTCGAAAGGGCATTCTATCTGTGGAGGGTCTTCCATCAATTGGACATTTATGAGAGGTCTTCTACATGTGGGAAAGCTTAAGAATATCTGCCTTGGAAGACCTGCCTTCATTAGGAGATCATTTACATATGGAAAACTATTAGGTCTTCTACGTCTTGTATATGTTGCTGATCTGTACATTAAGAGAGATCTTCTATAGACAGTAGACCAGAAGATCAATTTCTTTAAAAAAAATTAATAAAATGTTTTTAGAGATTTACCAAAGGTCTTCTTCAATTGCAAAAGTTTAAAGGGCCTCAAAATTATTTTTTTCTCAGTTATGAAAGACCTTTCAATGATCGTCCACCTTTAAAAATCTAAGGCATACGAAAAATACATTTTAAACCAACTTCCCGTACCATAAGTAAAAAATTGGTTAGCTCTCTTTCTTTATGAGGAAAATTCAAACGGCCTATCTCCTCAGGGATGTTAATTATGATTTTCATAGCAAGTCCAGAGACCTTCTAAATTTCATCGATACATAGAGGTATCTTAGTGCTCTATAAGAAGACAAAAAAGAAACAAAATATTAAAAAATAATAACAAATATAGTTTAAAACGCCAATTATACCTCTTGGTACCATTTCACATAGCCGGTGGCAATATGGGCACTTACCTTCTTAAAATATATCCTTCAACACTTTTCAATTTTAAAATATTTTTTTCCAATATTTAACAATCATTGATGATAACAATTAAAAAATTAGGACAAGGGAGACAAGGATTATTTGAAATAAAAAAATAGGAAATTATAATTTTAAAAATTAAAATTTAAAAATTAAAAAAAAAATAAAACATTTTTAAGTTTCAAATAATAAATCTCTTCTTCGACGTCGTTTCCCTTTGATATACCTACGAATAGGTAAATACCCCAAATTCTAGTAACTTATTTTTTTGCGCAGCTTCAAGGACAAACGCTGCTGTTGCTGCTGCTGGTCACGTTCAGTGCTGTGGTTGTGGCTGCTGCTGCTTGGATTGGCCAGCACCGAAGAGCTATATTTGCCACGTGGCACATACATACCTTGACTAGTGGGTGTGGGTATACCCGATGTAGATGCCGACGATGTCGAGGAAGCAGTTGAGGACTCTACCAAGTGGCCGGAGGTGGTGTGTCGCAGATAACGGGAACGAAAACTGCCACCGCCGGTTAGGGTGGAAGTACTGCTGGACGCTGAGGATGAGGAGGCGGCTGCTGTTGTTGCCGCCGATATGCTGGCCGATGAGGTAGCAGCAGCTGCTGAGCTGTTGTTGTTATTGGACGTTGTTTGATTGTTGTTGTTGTTGCTACTGGTTTTCCTTAGTAATTTGTTGTTGTACTCATCACATTTGTCCTTTTCGATGCGAGTACTGCTCAAGGAACGTTTGTTGCGTTTAATGTTACTGCCGCCGCCGCCACCGCTGCCGTATGGTAGTCCTGCATATGGACCACCGCCACTGCATGAGGAGGGTATGTGCGATGATGAAGAGCCGACACCCATGGAGGACCTTTGCGAATTTCGACTAAGACGATTTGTATCTAAATTATGATGAGACGGTGAGGGAGATGATGACGATGATGAGGTTAAAAAGGTTGTTGTAGGTAATGGAGGTGGTGTATGGGTGGATATGGCCAAGGAAATTTCATTATCAAGGGAGGGAGAAGGCGAGGAGGTGGTGGTAGGGGGGACATTAAGATGGATGATGTTAGAAAAATTAGATGTAGAGAAATTTGTGTTTAATTGTGTGTTTGGCATAAAATTATTATCAATGGGGACATTACTGTGGTTGTTGTTGCTATTATTGTTGTTGTTGTTATTATTCGAATGGCTTGTGAGATTTGAATTGTTGTTATTGTTGGTTGTGGACTTGAGGGTTTCTGCATCTGAGGAGGAATTTGAATGATTGGCCGAAACTGAGGTAGCTGTACATGAATTGGAGGAGGAGGATGAGATTGGCGGCGATTTTCTATTGTTGTTGTTGGCCATGTGGCCAAGGCGTTCTTCTAGCTTACTACAACTACTACTACTACAACTATTGGATTGGATGTTATTGTTTCTGTTGTTGTTGTTGCTGTTGTTAATGTTCATGTTGCTGCCGGCCTCTTCAAGGGTGCCACCAACTGGATTCGAATTGAAATCCAAATTGGCCGATGATGAACGTGTCGTCAAACCACCTGCAATGCCACTGCCGCCACCCAAAACCTGAGGCAAGGCTGAAACATCGCGATAATAACGAGCCGTTGTTATGGTACAGGGAGGAGGTGGTTGACCACCACCACCTCCATCATTATGGCGATGATGATAACGTAAACGTGAGCGGCCCCTCAAGGTCATGTGGTGAGTGGAGCTGCCACTTGTGCCCCCACCTCCTCCGGGGTGCACCAAACTTGATAAACGATTAGAACTCCGAGAAGGTGGTATTGTGGCACAAGACCCCACCATACCCGAAACAGCTGTTCCAACCACCGGATTTAAATCTAATAAAGCTGCTGTGGCCCTTACAATGGGAATTTTGCTTTCAATTCCAGATCCAGTACCACCACCACCACCAGCACCACTATTATTATTGGACGTTGCTGAACTGATGAGGGTATTTTGATAGGTTTTGGTTTGTTTGCTGAGACTAGTTGTTGTATTGTTATTGTTATTATTATTGTTGTTGTTGTTGTTGTTGTTATTGGCGGCAGTGACATTGCTGTGGGTGATTTGTTGCTGTTCGGCTTTGCGTAAATGCATTAGACCCATTCTATTGTGAAATGAAATTGATGTCCACCAATTTTGGATGTTGTTGCAGGGTTTAGTAAAACAGATCACCAAAGTTTAAATTTTTTGTTGTAGAAATCCATAGCCATGACAGAATTTCATTCACCATAGAAAAAAGATTCAAGAAGAAAAAAGTTACAAAAAAGAGAAAAAAGAAGAAAAGTTTTTATGTCGTAATTTTTCTCACCAGATTTTCATTCAAATGGAATTGAAGAAGAAGGAATAACACAAAGAGTTACGGGAACTATTTGAGTGTGGGGTTTTAGCGTAAATTATTTTGCGGAAAACATAAAATATGATGGAATTCGAAACAAAGTGTTCTGGATTAAATAATAAAATGGCATTATATTGAGTTATGTATTTTTTGGATTAGAAATTGTCTGGAGGCAAAATCTCACGAAAATATAAGTACAGAAAACTCCCTAATAAAAATAATATCCAATAGAGGCTCCAGATCTTGACAATTTTTAAGAGTTGTTGGTCTATTTAAAAAAAAAAATACGTTTTTATACCCCACAAAACTATGTTATGAGGGAAAGATTTGTAACACTTCAAAATAGCGGTCCTAGATTCACGATGAGCTAAGTAAATATACAAGCCGTGTGTTTCGGCCCATCTGTCCATGTTAATTTACAATCACTCTATACGACGCAATTGTTGCCCGATCGTCATGAAATTTAGCCGTTTATGCCCGGATCAGAAAATAGCCAGGATAGAAGATCATAGCAAACTTTTCCGGGTATAGACCAAAAATAGATTTTTTTTTGATTTTGCAGTTATTAGACAAGTCAAAGTTATGGCCTGATCAGAATCAGGGGTTAGTTCATAGAAAAAGTAACCAATATTGAGTGAAGATCGAATCCAGTCAATGGCAAATATTTTCGATGCGGAAACCCAATAAATCCAGCAGAATATAAGGTAGAACTAAAATAAAAGAAACGGGTATCGACGATTTGAAAGTTTATATCGCAAAGTAACTTAAATAGAGGGGTCAAGTTCCCCACTCTTCCAAATATTTTGAAATGTATGTATTAAGATTACTTTGTATCTGTTGATTTTAGTTATTGTTAACAATAAGAGGATTGTTTGTTTGAAAATCTAAACTCCCAAGCGAGGCAACAAAGCCCGTTTTGGTCCTTTTTGTTACTTTCATTTTAACAGCATCGTAACAAGTCAAATTTTTCTACAAACACATTTTCGGGACCGTACTTTTATTGATATATGCAAAATTCTCTTACAAGGCATCATTCTAGAAGGACGTCATCAAAGACAAGAGTATTCTTCATTAAATTTTACTAAAAGTCACCAAAGAAAAGGGGTATCTATTTCCATTACATTTCCAGAAAATATTTGTAAGAATTTTGCCAAAAAACAAGTTAGTCAGCCAATGTTCGACTATTTAAATATATTTTGACTTCTGTTATGATTATTCAAATTGTTGACCCTCTATGGAGTGGGTTCCGAAGGAAAGGGACTGGAAAATTGAGATTTGCCAAGTCTGAATGGAATCGAATATTACCAGGTACCAGAAGGAGTGGACCGATGGGTTAGTAGAAATAATGAGATGTGTGAAATATGAAGAGAACCGGATGCTTATCTCGGATTTTATGATCGTTTTGGTTATTCAAAATCTTAAACCTTATGTGGAGGAGTTACCTGGAGAAATGTTCTAATCTCTACCATTTATAACAGATCTTCTGTTGACGGAAGTATTGAGATGTGCCAAATCTGAATTGAATCAGATGTTAATTTCGTATTTTATGAGCTTCATGAATATTCAAAATGTTGACCCTTTGTGGGTGAGGTACCAGAAGTAGTGGACCGATATATTCTATCTCCGCACCAGATCCTGGGCTAATAAAAATATTGTGATGTGTGTAATTTGAAGACCATCGGACTTTTACATCACATTTTATAAGAATTATAATTATTCAAAATTTTGACCCTTTTGTGGGGGAGATACTGGATGGACTATATGGAAATATAAGGATTTGCAAAGTTGGAGCAAAATCGGATTATCGTTTCCTCTTTCTGTGCAGAAAATATATTCTTTGAAAATTTCGACCATTTGTTGGGGAGGTACCAAAAGGAGTAGACCGAGATGTTCCATCTTGTCGCCAGATCTTAGGTTACTAAAAATATTGTGAGGTGCGTAATTTGAAGACAATCGCACTCTTACATCACATTTTATAAGAGTTATAATTATTCAAAATTTTGACCATTTGTGGGTGAGGCACCTGACGTAGCACTGACGCAAATATTAAGATTTGCAAAGTTGGAGCAAAATCGGATTATCGTTTCTCTTATTGTGCAGTAAAATGCTTTTTTTTTAAAATTTCGAACTTCTGTGGGGAAGGTACCGTTATTGTTTATCTCCGAACTCGATCTAAGTTTGACAATAATATTACGATATACCAAATTTGGATCAAATCGGATACTCCCTTCGAGAGTTATTGTTCGCACTAGATAGGAGGCCAGACGGATGGGCGGACATCGCTAAATCCACTCCAAATGGCCTGAAACGAATTTGGTCCAAAGAGACCTAGGGTCTAAAACCGTTATTTCGATGAGGCACGTTTTGGCCGTATCAAATGATATATAGCCTCGCCAGCCATATGGCTGAGGGTTTAAAAGGGTCTGATAAAACCTTTTTTCCGATGGGGACATTTGGGCCAGTAATTACTAAATTTTTTTACGAACTCTACGTTTGATGGTGGTAATAGTTGTTCAAAAATATTGATATGAAATTGCACAAGAACATTTCATAGATTGATCAACACCATTAGTACCCACCAAATAGTCTGATGGCCCTTGGAAAAATATTTTTTGAAAATCCCTTGTAAGTGGTATAATCGTCCTTGAAAATTTTTTATTAAAATCCCCGATAAATGATGATAGTTAGCTGTGCTATGATCTTCTTCCCGATTAAAACAAAATCCAATTTTATAGACTGATGCTCTAGTTAAAAATCCATAAATCTACAATTTTGAAAAGCCTGAAATTTAACAGATTCAACATTTTAACAAAAAAAACTTATTTTTTGATCCTGATATTTCTATTTTTTCTAAAAGTGCTAGTTTAAGCCTTCGATAGTTCTATTTTTATTTATATTAAAACCACCTTCTTAAAAATCAAAGGAAATTCCTTACTAACAACTTAAAAGAATTTTCCGCAAAATAGTTTTTCTTTCTTTTGTAGGTGATAAATAAAACACTCACAAACAAGGCGACAACATATTGACAACAGAAAATGGACAAAACAAATGTGTATACAAGACAAGAGACAGAGAGCAATCAATTCAACAAGTGGAGAGGGAAAGGATAACAAAACACGAGCAACTTAACCATTAGAAAAATAATAAAAAAATAATACAACAGGTTTTTTGGGTGGGTGGAAAATTTTTTACATTGGTTTGTAAATTAAATTTTGTTTTTATTGATCATGCATAAAATCATTTATTGTAAAAAGTCAGTTATATTAAAAACAAAAATAATAGAGGATACACAGAATTTTGAATGGCTACAACAACAAAAGGTTATATATAAAAAATTAAAATCAGATAGAGGAGTGGTTATGATGCTAGGTTTTTACTTTACTTATATAATTTCTATACAAACTAATAAATAAATTGAATATTATTTTACAAAATAAACAATGTTGGTTAAATAGAATATTTATATATTTTTTTAGAATTTTCAATAATGTATATAAAAGTCATACATATAAAAATTAATTTGTGCATTATTACTGGTTTTATTGATTTTTAAATAATTTGTACATTTTCACAATTTATATTTTTTGTACAATTTAGCTGCTGCTTTGTGGGTCAATTTAAAAAAAATAGTTTTGAGGGAGATTTCATTAATAATATTATTGGTTGTTGGGGGCGGGGGTAGGTAGTGATGGTGATAATTATAGGCATTTTTCTGTTGCTACAAAACACCAGGTCATCAGGATTTAAGTTTTTGCATTAGACTTCGTACAAAGCTTAAGAAAGGGGAAGGGGGAGGGATGGCTTATTTTATTTTGTAAAATATTAACAAAGTATTAGGGTTAAATATGTTTTTTTTTTTTTAATTTTGTTAGTTAAAACTAAGCAAGAAAATGCTATAAATAAAGAAAACGAAAATTGCTACATGCCATAAAAAATGTTATAAAAGAAAACCAAAAAAAATTTTACTAAACCAAACAAGAAAAACGAAGTAGTTAATAATTTAGTACAGTGGAATAACAACACAAAAATAATGAAATTTTGTTGAGAAGACTTTCCAGGAGGCCTTTTATCTTGGTTAGATATTCATGTGGTCTTTTTTATGGAGAAGACATTTTAGAAGACATGCCCTTTCATCCCTAAAATACCTGTTACAATTATTTTATTCATAGGAGAAGAATGTAGAAGTTTTCTATTCAGATCTGTTGGGAGCCTTAGGTACATAGAAACGTCCATATAAGATCTGTTAAGAATCCTCTATCCATAGAAGATCAGCTTAAGATCTTCTATCCCTAATCCAAGAGATAATCTATTCAAATTATGTAAAAGGTTTTCTATACATAAAATACCAATTTGAGGATTTCAATTCCAAAGGAGCTTCAATTCTCAATTCAAGACCAGTAAGGTGTTTCAATTCAAAAAAGGACCTTTGAAATCTATCCTACCATCCCTAGATGTCCCTACATTTCAAAAAATTTTTTATTCGTATTTGGAAGTTTTCGACCTGTGTGATGCCTTAGGTTAATAGAAATGGCCATAGAGATCTAATTAAGAAACCATAGAAGATCAGCTAAAGCTCTTCTATCCATAGTCAAAGGTATTTTATTCCAAGAGATAATATTTCCAATTTTTTTTTAAAGTTTTACATTTATACATAAAGGATAAGTTTGAGGTTTTCAAGAGGCCTTCAATTCTAAAAAGCCCAGTAAGAGGCTCAATCCCAAAACGACCTTTGAAATTTTCTAAAAGACAAAATAAAATACATTTCCAAGGTTTTCCAAGAAGAGGTGTGATTTTGATATTCAATGAAAAATTAAAACAAGTAAAATAGTATCAGTTGGTTTTGCTGACAGATGTATACCCCCAGCCTTTCGTTAGGATTATTCAAACTGTTGACCCTTTATAGGGGAGGTTCCGAAGCCGTATACCAAATCTGAATGGAATCGAATTTTAATTTCTCGTTTGAAAATGTTGACGTTTTGTGTGGGAGGGAGAAACTCCAACTAAACGACGAGAATTAGAGTGGATTTTCTTCCACACTTTGGGCTAGAGCAGCATTATTCCACTCAGTTTTTCTTAATCGACTTGCAAATGTTTGATTTATACATCAGAATGTATTTTATTTCCACACCAAAAATGCTTCCGTTCTGCGAATTGTAAGTGTAACTGTCAGTTCAAAGAAATTTTGTGGAGCTCCTAAAAATATGCTATAAAAATTCTAAATATAATTGTGAAAGTCACTTTCCACATGTGTCGGGCATGTCTTTGACAATCGCCCAATAGCAATATCCAGTTTTAACATTTTGAGGAGATCCTAAAGGCAAGCTAAATATAAATTTGATAGTAACTTTACATATGACTCTAAAAAACAACCTCTTAAAAAAACGTGTAAGACTTTGGCCTGTTGGTCCTTGCAAAAATATTTTAAAGTCCTTGAAAAAAAATTCAAGTTTGACACCACTGATATTCCTCGAAGGAATATATTTAAAAAACCAAGTATATTCCCTGATTGTCCTTGAAATGATATATTTAAAGGAATATAAACGTGGATTCTTGGGTCAGATAGTCCTTCAAAAAATATTTTCAAAAAGTCCGGGTTTATTGGAAAAATATTTTTAAAATGTTCACGTTTATTGGTCGAATGGTCCTTAAAATATTTTTTTAAAAATCAAATTTTTTATTGGCCTGATGGTCCTTGAAAAAATATTTTTTAGAAATCCACGTTTATTGGTCAGATAGTCCTTGAAAAAATATTTTTTAAAAATCCACGTTTATTGGTCGGATGATCCTTGAAAAATTATTTTTAAAAAATACACTTTTAATGATTTGATGAACCTTAAAAAAATAATAGACAGGACATATAGACTTAAAAAAATATTTTTAAAAAATCTACGTTTTGCCATAAATCCGTCGAAGGCCGATCGAAGATATTCTATTGATTACTACCTACAAGTCTTTCTTTCATGGAAATGCTTTTAACAAACTTCCTAAAAAAGGTTTTTAAGGTCTTTCTTCCGAAGACTGAACCCTAGTGTTCCTTAACTTTCCAAGACCGATTAAAGATTTTCTACTTATAGAATACAAATTAGAAGACTTTTTATTCAACGATCTGGAAAATATCTCTTCCAAAAGCCCTCTAATCCATAGAAAACCGTCAAAATGTATTTTCGTCTATGAGAAAACCGATTGGTCTTCTATGAGAAGACCTCTTGGTCTTCTATGAGATGATCTCTTGGCCTTCTATGTGAAGTGATCTTTTACGAGAAGACCTTTTGGTCTTCTATGAGAAGATTTTCTGGTCTTCTTTGAGAATACCTTCCGGTCTTCTATGATCGTCTTGATATAAAAGATTCTTGTGAGACTTCTGACAATAAAAGACTCTTCTTACTGATCATATATCTCCATTACCGTCAACAGACCTAATTACAATCAACAGGCTTCCTATTCTTAGAAGGTCACAATATATCCATTGAGGATCCACCTCCTTTTCATTTCCTTCTTGTTAATACAGGTTTCAAAATCAATAATAACACAAATCTAAAGCTACCTAACAAATCCACTGTACCAAAATTCACAAATTTAAATATAATTAAAATTTAATATTCTATAAAAAATTGGAAAAAGGAAAAAAAAGAAAGAAAAAAGAACACGCAAGAATTGGCAACATGAACAAAAACACAATTGTAGAATAACATTCAAAGCATTAGGCCAATAACAAAAAAAAGTGGTAAAACTTTAAATTTAATTATTAAAAAACAGGAAAACAAAATTTTTAAAAAAATACATGATAAGAAGAAAAGCTAACATACTTTCTTATTCATTCACGCTTTTGGGCGCAGTTTGTAGGGAAGGGGATGTGGTTGGGTGCGTAGGTGGCAAACACGTTTTACGTTAAAAAGAAAACTTTTCTTGCACACGGTAGACTGGAAGACATTGAACGTTTAAAGCTTTGGCGGGTAACAATTGTTCTAGGGGTAGTAGTACTATTCATATTTTTGGATGTGGACGAGGAGGAAGGTGGTTTGTTTCGAGTGGATCTAAAATAATTGGTATTTTAATTTATTTTTTTTTTTTGGGTTTATTGTAATGGGGATAGAAGAGGGAAGGAAGATAGCAAACATTAGGGTAACAAAACAGGAAAGCAATAACAAAATAATCTTGTTTTGTCAAGTTTTGTTTTTTTTTTTCACACACGATCGCTAAACATTCGAATTTCAAAATAACAACAAAGATATTGAACTTTAAAAGGGTCAGTGGTTTTGGGATTATTTTGAAGTTGGTGTGTGTGTGTCGGGGGAAGTGTGGGTGGTTGGTTGGGGGGTTTCTGGTGAACTTACCGTTTACTATAAATGGCTAAACTGCGTGCCCGTGTTGTTATGGTTGAATTGTTAATACCCGATGCCGTTGTGGTTGTTGTTGTTGTGTTACCACTACCAATTCCTGCAGATGAAGATGATGGTAATGTTGTGACACCATTACTGCTGCTACTGCTGTTATTAATAATGTTATTATTATTGTTGTTGTTGTTATTATTATTATGGTTATTGCAATGATTGTTATTATTAATGTTGTTGTTATTATTATTATTATTGTTATTATTTAATAAATTATTTGCTGTATCATTTCCGGCTGCTGCTGCCACCGCTGAACTTTTACCCATTGCCAGAAATTGTCCACCTGCCGTTGCTGCTGTATTTGTAGGTAACATATTAACAATATTATTGTTATTGCGAAATGGCTGTGACCGGGCCCTGGTATGACGCAAAGGATTCTCGGTTTCACTGTAACAAAGAGCAATGGAAAAGGGGGTGATTAATCGTTGGTCTTTTATATTACATCAACAATTGTTTTTCTTTATGGTATTTAATGTAACCTCAATGTGGCTCAGAACATGTTAAAACGTAAAATAAGTTGTAAAGTATAGCCGACTTGTTTCGCAAGTTATGACAGATAAGAGTCTTGAAAATTGTAACCCTTTGCGGGGGAGGACCAGAAGGAGGGGACCGATATATCTCAATTTCACACCAGACCTTGGGTTAATAAAAATATTGCGATGTGTGAAATATGAAGGGAACCGGATGCTTATTTCGGAGTTAATAATCGTTTTGGTTATTCAAAACATTGACCCTTTGTGGGGGGAGGTACCAGAAGGAATGGTCTGATCTTTACCATCTTTATAGCAGATCTTGTGTTGATAGAAATATTGAGATATGCCAAGTCTAGATGGAATCGGTTGATAATTTCGGGTTTTATGGAATTTTGAACCTTTGCGCGGGAGGTACCAAAAGGAGTAGACCGATATATCCCATCTTCACATTAGATCTTGGGTTAGTATAAATAATGGGATGTGTGAAATATGAAGAGAACGGGATGCTTATTTCGGATTTAATAATTGTTTTGGTTATTAAAAACATTGACCCTTTGTGGGAGGAGGTACCAAAAGGAATGGTCTGATCCCTACCATCTTTAAAGCATACTTAAAATTGTGACGCTTTATGGAGGAGGCACTTGAAGGTGTGTACCGATATATTCCATCTTCACACCAGACCTTGCGTTAATAAAATTATTGGGATGTGTGAAATTTAAAGACAATCGGACTCTTACATCACATTATATTTATTTAAGAGTTGTAATTAATCAAAATTTTGACCCTTTGTGGGGAAGGTACTTAATGGAGTGGATCGATATTGTCCATTTTCGCACCTGACGTAGCATTGACGCAAATATTAGGATTTGCGAAGTTGGAGCACAATAGGATTATCATTTCTCTTTCTGTGCAGAAAATATATTTCTCTGAAAATTTCGACCCTTTGTGGGGGAGGTACTAGAAGGGGTGGACCGATATATTCGATCTTCGCAACAGACCTTGGGATAAAAGAAATATTGAGATGTGTGTAATTTGAAGATAATCGGATTCTTACACTAAAAGTTATAAATATTCAAAATGATGACCTTTTTTGAGGAGGTACTTGATGGATATTGTACATTTTCGCACCTGACCTAGCACTGATGCAAATATTTGGATTTGCAACGTTGGAGCAAAACCGGATTATCCTTTCTCTTTCTGTGCAGTAAATTATTTTCTTTGAAAATGTTGACATTTTATGGGAGAGGCACCAGAAGGTGTGGACCGATATGTTCCATCTTCGCACCAGACCTTGGGTTAATAAAAATATTGAGATGAGGCACGTTTTAGCCGTATCAAATAATGTATACTCTATGTATCCCTATGTCTGAGGGTATAAAAATCCTTGTTTATTGGTCTTTTGATCCTTGGAAAATATGGTTTAAAAAACCCTGTTTGTTGGTCTGTTGCTCCTTCAAAATGATTCTTTAAAAAATCCATGTTTATTAATCTGTTGGTCCTTGAAAATTATTCTTTAAAAAATCCACGTTCGTTGGTCTTTTGGTCCTTGAAAAATACGGGTTAAATATCGCTCGTTTATTGGTCTGCTGATCCTTGTAAAATACGGGTTAAAATTCCTCGTTTATTGATCTGTTGGTCCTTGGAAAATGCGGATTAGAAAATTCACGTTTATTGGTCTATGGTTCTTTGGAAATTTTGGTTTAAAAAATCTACATTTATTGGTCTATAGGTCCTTGGAAAATTTGGATCAAAAAATCCGCATTTATGGATCTATGGGTCCTTGGAAAACTTGGTTTAAAAATGCGCGTTTGTTGGTCTATGCATCCTTGGAAATTTTTTTTTTAAAAATGCACGTGTATTGGTCTGTTGATCTTTGAAATTATTATTTAAAAAATATACTTATTGCTCGGTTGGTCCTTAAAAAATTTGGTTCAGAAAATCCACGATTTTTGGTCTGTTGGTCTTTGAAAAATGCGGGTTAAAATGTCTCATTTATTGGCCTATTGGCCTATACTTAATAAATGCCTTCATCAACTGCTTTAAATTAAACCGTCTGGAACCAACTAAACTCTTTCGAATTGGGAAAATTTCGCTACCTTTCTACCAATCTCAAAAATGTAGGAAGAGCGAATGCATTGTCTCAACTCCATATATAAATTCCTTTGCGTGAACTACTCATCTTAACACTTTATATTATACGAAAAAAACTAAAAGCCTGGAAACAAAACTTACACTGTAGCACCTCCCGATCGCGAATTATGCTGACGTCGCATAGCCTTGATTTGATTAAGTTTATCACCCTGAGTTTGAGCATTTTTCTTTTCGATGGCCGCCTGGACCATTTTAACGGTTGATGCTATTGTGGGTCTCTGGATAGCAGCTGCCGGCTCATAGACCGAGGGTTTCTTTAATTTCTTTTCCGAGTAGAGAGGAGCACCGCCACCACTACCACCAAGAGCCGTCGTCTGTGACGTCGCCGCCGCCGCTGATGAAGTCGTTATGGAATTATTGCCAATTAACGATGGCTCATTATTGTTAATGGGCGGCGTACGGCGTATGCTAAAGAACCCTGCACCAAGTGGTGATTGTCCCACTTTAATACCCAACGAAGCTAGCGAGGCATTTGTTGTAGTCGTTGTTGTGGTGTTGGTGGTCGTTTCCAAACGTTGTTGTTGTTGCTGCTGTTGTTGTTGTATACTGGGTGACTTACGCCTTCGTGAAACAATAAATGTCGAATTAAGATTTGATGCCGTCGAATCCTCTTCAGTTTCGGTGACATCATTATCATTGTCACTGGCACTTGTTGGCGGTGTTATTGCACCATCTTTACTGCTCGTCAGTACACGGGAACGTGGTGTAGGGGTGGTGGTCGTCTTGGTGGTGGTGACGGTTACGGTATTACTCACTGCTGACGGTTTATTACCATTCTCATAGGAATCCAATGAGTCCAGTTGATTTGAATCGGTTTGATCTTCATGCAAATGCATGGTATCAACCTTTTGTGATATGCCCTTGACACGAGTCATTAAGAGTTCGGTATTATTTTCGGTGTTGACCAGTAACTGGCCAGCAGTTACGGGACAATTTTTGTAGACCAAACTGTAGATGCCGAATTTATGTACAGGTGTTTGTGAGCTGCTGCGTTTACGCAGGCGTTCGCCTTCGGACCAGAGCCAAGATTGTTTGCTATGAAAAAGTGAGAGAGAGAGTGAGGGAGAGATGAATTGAAGAATTGAGGGAGATAATGTAGCAATAGTTACTCACTCTTCCATCCACTGTTGCTGATGACCAATCACAGAACCTGGACGGCAAAGACGTAACCATGCAATAGCTTCCAGTGCTGAGAAGTTATAGTGTTTCATAATGTATGCGCCAATTAAACTTCCAGTGCGACCAAGACCAGCTAAAAGAGAAATAAATAATTGATGAGTAAAGATCATTATCTCTCGCTTAGGAGACAATAGGGAAAATATGTGATCTGGAGCACTACCTCGGAAATAAGGGCTGATTAGAACCATTATTTCATAGATAATAATAGTCGTGACGATTATATCAGAGAAAATGACCGATGAAGGGTATTACATCGGAGAAAATGGCCGATGAAGGCTATTACATCGGAGATAATGGTCGGTCAGGACTATTATCTCGGAGATAATGATCTGTTAGGACTATTATCTTGGAGATAATGGTAGGTCAGGACTATATCGGAGATAATGGTCGGCCAGGACTATTATCAAGGAGATAATGATCGGTCAGGACTATCTCAGAGATAATGGTCGGTCAGGACTATTATCTAAAAGATAATGGTCGGTCAGGACTATTATCTCGGAGATAGTGGTCTGTTAGGACTATTATGTCGGAAATAATGGTCGGTCAGGACTATTATCTCGGAGATAATGGTCTGTTAGGACTATTATCTCGGAGATAATGGTAAGTAAGGACTATCATCTGAAAGATTATGGTAGGTCAGGACCATTATCTGAAAGATAATGGTCGGTCAGGACTATTATCTGAGAAATAATGACCGTTACGGACTATTATCTGAGAAATAATGGCCGTTCTGGACTATTATCTGAAAAATAATGGCCGTTCAGAACCATTATCTCGGATATACTGGCCCATCAGGACCGATGGCCGATCAACACCATTATCTGGGAGATTATGGGGGGTCATGACCATTATCTGGGAAAAATTGCTGGTTAGGACTATTATCTGAGAGAAAATGGTCGACTATGACCTTTATCCGGGAGATTATGGGTGTTCAGCACTATTATCTAGGACATAATTAGTAGTACCGTTATCTAGGAGAAAATGGACCATTTCTCGGAGATAATGCCCGATAGGGACCATTGCCTGGGACGCAATTTCCGGCGAGGACAATTAGCTCAGAAATAATGGCCAGTAAGGACCATTATCTGGGAGAAAATATACAGTCAGAACCATTATCTGGAAGATAATGGTCGAATAAAGCAATTATGTTGGAGTTAATGCAGAGCAGGACCATTATCTGGGAGATAATGTCCGTCCAGGACCATTACTTGGGAGATAATGTCCGTCCAGGACCATTACCTGGTAGATAATGTCCGTTCATGACCATTATCTGGTAAATAATATCGGTTTAGGACTATTATCTGGGAGATAATGGCCTGACAGGACCGGAGAGAACAGTAATCTGAGAGATAATCGCCTGCCGGTTAGAACCTTTATCTTTGAGCATACAAGTCTTTCAGGACCATAGTTTTTTAAAAAAAAGTGCCAATAGGGGACCATTATCCTCAAACCAATATCTTTTTAGTACCATTTCTTCCGAGACAGTATCCTTTGGGACCCCAAAAATCTAAAAATCACGTAACATACCTTTACAATGCACTGCAATGGCGCCCTTTGTCGTTTCGCATATCTGCAAGAATTTCTTCAATATCAAATCGCTCGGCGTACTGCCATCTATAAAAAATAGATCCTTATGATCGAAACCGGCATTCTCAAAACTGGAGGCATGATAGACCTTGGCATTCAAACGGATTATCGTCGTCACGTTGTTACTGCGAAAATATTCGAAATATGTTTCGGGGGAATGGCAAGGATAACCGTTCGGCAGTGTTTTAGATTTTTGATGTGGCCCACAAAATGCAATAAATTTCTGAGGTACAATCCAATTGAAATCACCGTTTTCAACGCGTTCATAGTACTCATACTCCTCGGCATCGAAGTCCTCGAAATTGAAGAAACCCGCCTTCATGGCCTTCGAAATGGCATTGAGACAGTCGATCAGGGAGATTTTATAACCACTTGGACCATAGGAAGCATCACAGAAACGTGTATAGGCAGGTATATCGCCCACAACCAGAGGTCGATAGGCCTCTTCGGGGCTTTTGTTAAGGTAGATTATCTGCAAGAAAAGAGAGTCAATTGAATGTTTGAGTGATAGCATATGAGGATATGTCCTTACCGAAAATGCTCCTATTAGATATGCGGCATTCACCCTCTTTGCCGGATTCATGGACGTATAGTGTACGATTTTCTTACTGGCCAGCGTTTTGTTGCTCAATTTGGCATTCAATTTCTGACAATACCGATATAGCATGCAAATATTCAACGGCCCGAAATCATTGTAAAAATTCTCATAGATAAAATCATCATCGATGCTAAAATAATGTGTGCTGGGTGTGTTTTTCGGTTTGAAATTCTTTTTGAACGCCACAAAATATAAACGATCTGGAAGAAAGAAAATGAGGAAATTATTTAAAAAAAAAAAAAATAATAACGAATTATTTTTGCAAGGATCAAGAAACAAATAATTAAGTATTTTTTAAGGTATATTTTTCAAGGACCAAAAGACCAATAAACGTGGATTTTTAAGGAATATTTTTCAAGGACCAAAAGACAAATAAACTTGGATTTTTAAGGAATATTTTTCAAGGACCAAAACGTGGATTTTTTGAGGAATATTTTTCAAGGACCAAAAGACCAATAATCGTGGATTTTTTAAGGAATATTTTTCAAGGACCAAAAGACCAATAAACGTGGATTTTTTAAGGAATATTTTTCAAGGGCCAAAAGACCAATAAACCTGGATTTTTTAAGGAATATTTTTCAAGGACCAAAAGACAAATAAACGTGGATTTTTTAAGGAATATTTTTCAAGGAACAAAAGACAAATAAACGTGGATTTTTTAAGGAATATTTTTCAAGGACCAAAAGACCAATAAATGTGGATTTTTAAGGAATATTTCTCAAGGACACAAATACCAATAAATGTGGATTTTTAAGGAATATTTTTCAAAGACCAAAAGACCAATAAACGTGGATTTTTTAAGAAATATTTTTCAAGAACCAAAAGACCAATAAACGTGGATTTTTTAAGGAATATTTTTCAAGGACCAAAAGACCAATAAACGTGGATTTTTTAAGGAATATTTTTCAAGGACCAAAAGACCAATAAACGGGGATTTTTTAAGGAATATTTTTCAAGGACCAAAAGACCAATAAACGGGGATTTTTTAAGGAATATTTTTCAAGAACCAAAAGACCAATAAACGTGGATTTTTTAAGGAATATTTTTCAAGGACCAAAAGACCAATAAACGTGGATTTTTTAAGGTATATTTTTCAAGGACCAAAAGACCAATAAACGTAGATTTTTTAAGAAATATTTTTCAAGGACCAAAAGACCAATAAACGTAGATTTTTTAAGGAATATTTTTCAAGGACCAAACTACCAATGAACGTCGATTTTTTAAGGAATATTTTTCAAGGACCAAAAGACCAATAAATGTGGATTTTTTAAGGAATATTTTTCAAGGCCAAAATACCAATAAACGTGTTTTTTTTTAAGGAATATTTTTCAAGGACCAAAAGACCATTAAACTTGGTTTTTGTTATGGAATATTTTTCAAGGAACAAAAGACCATTAAACGTGGATTTTTTAAGGAATATTTCTCAAGGACACGAAATTTCAATAAACGTGGATTTTTTAAGGAATATTTCTCAAGGACACAAAATTTCAATAAACGTGGATTTTTTAAGGAATATTTTTCAAGAACCAAAGGCCAATAAACGTGGATTTTTAAGGAATATGTTTCAAGGACCAAAAGACCAACAAACGTGGATTTTTTAAGGTATATTTTTCAAAGGCCAAAAGACCAATAAACGTGTATTATTTGAGGAATATTTTTTAAGGAATATTCTTCAAGGACCAAAAGACCAATAACTTTGATTTTTTAAGGAATATTTTTCAAGGACCAAAAGACCAATAAACGTGGATTTTTTAAGGAATATTTTTCAAGGACCAAAAGACCAATAAACGTGGATTTTTTAAGGAATATTTTTCAAGGACCAAAAGACCAATAAACGTGGATTTTTTAAGGAATATTTTTCAAGGACCAAAAGACCAATAAACGTGGATTTTTTAAGGAATATTTTTCAAGGACCAAAAGACCAATAAACGTGGATTTTTTAAGGAATATTTTTCAAGGACCTAAAGACCAATAAACGTGGATTTTTAAGGAATATTTTCCAAGGACCAAGAGATTAATAAACGTAAATTTTTTTAAGGAATATTTTTCAAGGTCCTACGGACCAATAAACGTGGATTTTTTAAGGAATATTTTTCAAGGACCAAAAGACCAAAAAACGTGCATTTTTAAGGAATATTTTTCAAGGACCAAAAGACCAATAAACGTGGATTTTTTAAGGAATATTTTTCAAGGACCAAAAGACCAATAAACGTGGATTTTTTAAGGAATATTTTTCAAGGACCAAAAGACCAATAAACGTGGATTTTTTAAGGAATATTTTTCAAGGACCAAAAGACCAATAAACGTGGATTTTTTAAGGAATATTTTTCAAGGACCAAAAGACCAATAAACGTGGATTTTTAAGGAATATTTTTCATGGAGCAAAAGACAAATAAACGTGGATTTTTTAAACCAAAATTTCCAAGGACCAACAGAGCATCCAAAGTGAATTTTTTAAATCAAATTTTCCTAGGATCCATAGACCAATAAATATGGATTTTTTAAACCAAATTTTCCAAGGACCATCAGAGCATCCAAAGTGAATTTTTTAAATCAAATTTTCCTAGGATCCATAGACCAATAAATATGGATTTTTTAAACCAAATTTTCCAAGGACCATCAGAGCATCCAAAGTGAATTTTTTAAATCAAATTTTCCTAGGCAGTCTCTCTGTGACAGTCATTCTGTGCAGACGTACTTTTTGTGCTAGCAAGACCTTTGTATATTTTTTTCCTCAAAAGTTTAAACATTGCACTTTGTCACCAGATTTATTATAATTGAAACGGTGAATGGTAAATATTACCAACAAATTCAAACTTTTTTTTCGAAACCCGAACAAACGGACACATTCTACAACAACTCCACGTACCCACACTCAACTGCTGAACCAGCAGCATGAGTGTTGGCAACAACAAAACCACAAGTGCTAGTACCTCCAGCACTAACCATGTCAGAGACCTCGATTGGCAGGTAGTAAAATCCAATAAACGTCGAAGCGAAGATTCCCCAATTCGCAACAACACAAAACGTTTTGCATTAAATGACTGTCCATCAACAAGTGCAAATAAGTATCATCTACTTTTGAACAATGATGTTGAAGAAACGCAAGAGATAGAAGAAGTCGCTGAACCCAAACCACCACCTATAATCATACCTGATGTTGCTGATATCAAGAAAATGTTAGAGGATATTTCAACGATTATTATGCCTCAAGAATTTACATACAAATCAGTGAAGAATGGTCACGTAAGACTAATGACAAAATCCACAAGCGCCTATCGAACTGTTGTCAAATATTTAGACATAAAAAAGAAAATGTTTCATACTTATCAGTTGAAACAAGAAAGAGCATATAGAGTCGTTGTTAAGAACTTGCATCATACAACACCTCCACATGAAATTAAGACTGCTATTGAGAAGGAAGGTCATAACGTGAGGAATGTCATGAATGTAAGAAGCAGAATTAGCAAACAGCCAATGTCAATTTTCTTTGTGGATTTGGAACCAAAAGCTAACAATTCTGACGTTTATAAAATTAAATACATAGGCAATGCAGTAATAAAAATCGAAGCCCCTTTGAAATCGAATGATATTGTACAATGTCAGAGATGCCAAGGACATGGCCACACAAGAAAATACTGCAGATACCCTCCTTTTTGCGTTAAATGTGGTCTTAATCACCTAAGTAGCGAATGTAAAAAAGATAAGAAAGATCCACCTAAATGCGTAAATTGCCAAGGTGAACATCCAGCAAACTACCGAGGTTGTACTGCTTACAAATCACTTCTGCAATTGAGATCTCAACAGAAACGTCAAAATATTCGCCCTGTTATCGACCGGGAAATATTAAGAAATCCCAATGAAGACTGCAACGAATCTTCCCCAAACTCCTATGCAGGCATTCTGAAAAATAACGAGCAAACGACTTTCGGCAAAATAGAAGAGCTGTTAAACAAACAAATAGAGTTAACAAATACCCTCCTTAATATGATGTCGTTACTAATCTCAAAATTATGCAATTAAACCTGCGAATAGCGTTATGGAATGCCAATGGGCTTCTAAATCATACAAGAGAAGTTGAAATCTTCCTTAAAATTAACTATATTGATGTGTTTCTCATTTCCGAAACACACTTTACAAGTCCTTCATATTTTAATATAAGTGGTTATGACCTTATAAAAACTAATCATCCTGACAACAGCGCTCATGGTGGATCTTGCATATTGGTGAAAAATACAATTAAATATGAAACACTAGATGAAGTAAAGGAAAATTTTGTTCAAGCTACATGCATAAAAGTTAAAAGTAATGATGGAGACATGGTAATCTCATCAATCTATTTTCCACCTCGACATCAAGTTTTATACCGGCAATATGTCGATTTTTTCAATAAGATGGGACACAAATTCATTGTTGGAGGTGATTACAACGCTAAACATCCTTGGTGGGGCTCGCGTTTAGTTAATCCCAAGGGAAGGGAATTGTACAAATATATTCAAGACACAAATTTATCAGTTCTTTCATCTGGTTCACCAACGTATTGGCCATCCGATCCAGGTAAAATTCCTGATCTTCTAGATTTTGCTGTTTATCGTGGTATTCCATGTACCAGTTTAGACATATCAAACGTGGACGACCTGAGCTCGGATCACATACCAATATTGATAAACATTTCTTTGTCTATTCGATATACACATTTAAAAAATAAACTGATAACCCCCGAAACTGACCTCCGGACTTTTAGAACGAGTATTGATCGCAAAATAAGTCTAAATACAAGTTTAAAAACTAAATGTGAAATAGATAATGCTATAGATCATCTCACGAAAACAATTCATGAATCTGCTTCTCTGGCAACACCCACAATTTCGAACATTCCGAGAGACAATTTGAAATTATCATTCGAAATAAGGCAACTAATAAGTGATAAAAGAAGGCTTCGAAAAATCTGGCAAGCAAGTAGACAACCCACCGATCGTATACGGTTCAATAGGGCATGCAGACTGTTGAAAAAAGTTCTTTCTGATTATAAGAATGACGCCACAGCTACCTTTCTAGAAGCGATAAATAATTCAAAGTATGATGAACACTTATTGTGGAAATCTACTAAATATTTGAAAAGACCTGTCAAGAAAATTTCGTAATCAAGAACGCTGACGGAACATGGTGTAAATCATCTAAAAGCATAGCAGATGCTTTT